AAGGGCCTGCATCCACATCCAAGAGGAGGCAACCCTTTGTTTGAGAGATGGCCTTGCCAATCTCATCTATCACCTGTAGCAGAGAAGAGACAGACAGCTTGGAAAGAAAGCACTTAATATACATCAGTCAACTCCAATCACTTGCTTTAATTGAGAACTAGATTTCCATGCTCTTGCAATTAGTCTAATTCATTTTACCCTGAAGAACTTAGGAATTAACCTTTCCCTATCAGTTACACTAGAATCCACTGAATAGGACAATTCAAGAGTGAATTAATCAAATTGAGAAATTCTTACACAAGACAATTCCTAATCTAGTGAATGAAACTGTTTCTTGTGCGTAGGACTGATCACCTAGTGTGGTACCAGCATAACCTATCTCTCCCATGGATAATTTTAAAGTAAAGGCTGGTTTTTTATTTTTAAGTGAAAAACATATAAATGCTTATGCCACATAAAACTTAAAAAGTTTAACCTCACCTCATGGTCTTTTTCATAGTGACTTTGTAGGGAGATGATGCATCACACCTCCCAAAATCTGCTTTCTTGGTAATTGCCAGCAGTTAGCCCTCACTGATGGTATAAATAAAATCTTGTTGCACAGATATCAACATCCAAAGATGTAGAAGGCTTATTTTCAGTGAATTGTGAAACATTTCCAAATTTATTTGATAGTATAGAATTGATAGGTCAGCTCCACTAGATGAACCAGACCAGGAAATCAGTTCCACAGAAAAACCAGAACTACATTTTATTGTGACTGATTGTAGTAATAAAATCTTGCAAGTGTCACCTCTTCCTTCTTAGAATTCATTGAATTAGGAAGGTGTCTACTGAGTCACTTTCAAATGTTATCTGGTTGTTTTGGATGTTAAAAATGCTTCACTCTATTTTGCCTTCATTCCTGTATAACTCTGTCAAGATCATCTTTTTTACTCTTTATAGTTTATTCAAACAGCTCAGGACTGTAAAACTCACTTAGAAAAAAATGGATTTCAAAATTGTCTAGTACTTTACACAGCAACACAACAGGTCTCCTTAGAAAGAAAATAATGTAGAACTTACCTTTTTATTGTTTCCTTCGGAAAAATTGGGAACACACTCCACTAATTTTGTCATTATTCTAGTTGGAAGCTTGTCCTTGTATTAGGTTTATGAGAATCCTGGATGTACTGTATTTTTCCTTCTGCTCTTTTGTTTTAAAGTGAAAGTAAAGTAGAATCTGAGTCTGGCTTGTATCTAACGGGATTTCTCAATCCTCATTGTTTCTCATTAACCAAGGCACACCAGCTACAAAGAATTTTACTGGCACTTTGGACTGACCTTTCTTTTTAAAAAACTTAGCCCTGGCCCTGTTCATCAATGTTGGGCTTCAGCAGCTGCAGCTGCATTTAAAAGCAGAATGTTGCTGAAACTAATGAATTCATGCTGCTCTGTAAAAAATTGAATAGAAATAAATAGAATTCTTAATTTTTCTGATTGACAAAAGGAACTTTATCCCCATGAAAGTTACGAATAGAATAGATTTTCCTTCCATGCACTGATTAAGAGGAAAATTATACTAATTTGAGAGGCATTGCACTATAGTATTATCCAATTAGGCCTTGTTTAAATCAGCCTATCTCAGGATACCTATGGCAGGGCTTTTCAACCTTTTTACCGATTGTACCACTTTTAGGATATGGCAATATTCTAGTACCGCCTAGCAAGGTGTCAAAAACTTGACCAAAAAAAAAACCTGTTCAAAGTTGCAATTACACTGAAATGACTTATGACCATTTTTCACACTTATGACCATTGCAGCATGCCCAGGGTCATGTGATTTATATTTGGATGCTTGGCAACTGATTCATATTTATAATGGTCACAGTGTTCCAGGGTCATGTGATCCCCTTCTGCAACCTTTTGACAAGCAAAGTCAATGGCAGAGCTGCTGGTAGCCAAGTGCTAAGGCAGGACTTCCTTTCCTCTCTCCCTTCCCTGCCTCCCTTTTTCTCATTCCCATCTCCTTCTGAAGGAATAATTTGAACCCCGCCCCCTATTTTCCCTCTTCCATATATTGATCAAACAAGGAAAGGCCTCCAGAGACAGAAAAGACAAGCTGCTGAGTGAACTAGCTCAAAAAGGCACATTCCCCTTTAAGAATTAGCTATGGCTAGAAAGGAAAGTAAGGAGCGCAGCCGGCACTTAAGGAAGAAAAAAAATGTAAGTACTGGCTGCGGACTAAGGCAACCTCCCCAAATGGCTCCATTCATAAGTAAAGGAATGCTACAGGCAAAATCCATTCAGGAGAAAAATACTTCAAAATCCCTTGCAGCAAAACTTATAGCTAACAACAGCAGAGCAATAGAAGCTAACACGAGACATCAGCCATCAGCCAAATAGAAATTGCCAAACACTCCTTAAGAACACAAAGCCCTCATTGCACAAATCCCAGAACTTCAAAGTCACAAAAGTACATAAGAATCCTTCCACTCTCCATCTCCTTCTCTCCTCCATGCCATTGCTGCCTTTTTTCATTCCTCTTGGAGGGTGAGCCCTCCCCCACTGCATTTGTTGCCTGTTTGCTGCTGCCAGCACAGGTGGCTGCCACAGCAGTTGTAGATCGGCTCATGGCCAGCCTGCTTGATCTCCTCTCCCTCCCCCCTCCCCTCCCCCTCCTCCTTCTTCTTCCCCTTCGGTGCAGCTGACTCTGCCTCCTCCCAAGACTGCTGCTTTTTTTCTCTCTCCCTCTCCTGCCCAAACTGCCTCCTTTTATAGCAGTGATGGCGAACCTTTTAGAGACCAAGTGCCCCAAAACTGGCCCGCCCCCACTCCACCCCCTGTCCTGCCCCTGCCCTGCCCCCAATCCACCCCCTGCCCTGCCCCTGCCCCGCCCCCACCCCGCCTGCCCGCAGGGCCACTCACCGCCTCCAGGGCCCGCCACAGATCACCCAGGCAGCCCAGCAGCGCCATGGCGGCCACACCCTCTGCCCGCGCCCCGCAGCATCAACTGTGCGCGATGGGGCATGAGGGCAGAGTCTTGTTTACACTGCCTGGCTGCCATGTCCTTGGCTGTGCTGCTCCACGTGGGCCATGCTCAGGGGCCACTCTCTTCCAGGGGGACTGCTGGTGAGGAGGGGGTCACGGGGGGAGGCAAGGCTGGGGCAATGGCACGTGTGCCCACAGAGAGGGCTCCGAGTGCCGCCTCTGGCACCTGTGCCATATGTTCACCACCACTGTTTTATAGGCTCTCCTGTTTCCGCCCCCCCCTCCTCCTTTCTCATAGGGGAGGGTGAGCCAGAAGTGAGCCTGGGGCCTTTGCAGCTCCAGAGGACTCTCTCACTGTAAGTCCTTGCCTGTGCTGGCTCTTACCCTCCCCCACTACACTTGGCTAGGCAGGGCTGCGTACCACCTGCCACTCATTAATGTACCACAAGTGGTACGCATACCACCGGTTGAAAAGTCCTGACCTATGGCAACACATTTTTAAAAAATGTTGTCATCCATCCATTTAGAATCTTCCTGTGTTTTTACTGGAAATGTGACTGTAGTTGCACTGACTCTTTAGCACCTCACAATTTTCTGACCACAAGGTTCAAAATGCACATAATATCACATAAATAAAAAACAAGAGAAAAAAAACAAGTCAAAAAAGTAACAAACAAGTAACAGTAGAATTATTAGCAACCTGCTTTAGAAATATATGCATCATATGAAATCGGGTCATAGATATTGATCTTTATCCTCCTCTCTGCCTGTTCTTTGTGAGATTACTAATCACAGGATATTTCCTTCCTCCTTTTCACAGGCCTCGATTCATTACCACAATGCCAAAATGTCAAAATATGAATTGTGATATCAGTAGAGGAAAAAGCTCTACCCTTTTGTATCATGATATCACACAAAAAGAAGCAAGGAACAGAATTTACATATCACAACATATATTTTCTCACTTGCTCCCTGCAGATGCCTATGTCTTATGACAGACACTTGTTCTCTGCCTGGAAGGATATGTAGCTTGCTCAAAGCTAAGTTTTGCCTAGTCCCTTGACCCCACTCATTTTTGCCAAGGTAAGATTTTGCTCTTCAGAACACCCTCAACTCACTTTCTTATTATATCTCAATGTGGTAATCATAGCATTCTTTCCAAAACAACCCTGTGAGGTAAACTGGGCTGAAGAAGAATGAGTGGCCACTCCACTAAATGAACCTTTGCAATAGCATTTGAAATTGCATGTGTTCATTGTGAAAAAATGCATAGACTTCTCATTAGAACTAAGCCTATGGTAAAATTTAATTCCTCCCTTTGTCATCCTAAAACTAATTAGGAAACTCCATTATACTTTCAAACATTTGAATACATTGGCAAACATTTGAATGCACATTCATCATACTAAATGACAGGATTCCAGAATCCAAGATTTTGGAAATACTGGAAATATTTTGTAACACCAATGCAGGTAAATGGTGATATACATGCAGTGCTGTATCAATCCAATGGAAGCTATATATAGGTTATTTCCACTGAAGAAAATGTCCCAGGTTTCTTGTAGGCATGAGAAAGAGGTGGGTTTTTTGAAGAGCATTCAAATTTTAAAGTAAGTCATGTCATACCTATAGCTGTACCTTTGTGGAAGAAGCAAAATAACATTATAGTTGGACAGTCACTTCCTTTCTCACACAGAAACAATATAGGATTTAATTGGGAATTTGTGAACTGTTGCAACAAATAATCACTTCTATTTTATTTTATTGATATTCCCATCAAAATATACCTAACATAGCAGTTACCAATGAAACATATCAATACAGCACCAGTTTTTCAAAAATATCATGAAATATAAACTTTACCAAAACCAAATTACATACAAGATGAAGCAGTGATTTGGACAGCAACAGCTTAATTTAAAAAAATCATACACGTATTATCCCACACCCTCTTTTAGCAGCATTCTTTATTACGTATATGCTCTGCTTAGGTGCTCTTTCTATTAAAAATGGGGACGTTGCAGGAGGCACTACCAGGCAAAAAGGGCCTTGTTGTCTTCTTTGGAAAGTTCACACAAACAGTTCAAGAGCAGTAAGGTATCGCCAAGGAATTTAGCTGGGACAATGTCTATCACCATCTTCCTGAGATCATTAGGATTGTCATTTATGGGGTTAGAGCTGAGGTCAGGCCTTTGCTTCAGGATGCCATAGGTGTTGATGAGAAATTCACTAAACACTGGGTGGACATCTGTGCGGTAGCCCATTTTCTCCAAGCGGGTAATTAGGTTATGATAACGCTGGGTTATAGCTCGATACTTTTTGTCATCTAGAGAGCCATCTAAAGATCTTGTGGAAACCTAAGAATTGTCAGATATAAACCTATGATTAATATTTTATGGAAGTGTAAATCAGCCTGAATTTTATATAACACTAATAGGAACAAAAAATAAAAAATAGATAATTATACAGGGTTTTTTTTAATTTGTGAAGTGGATCTTATAGAACTATTACTGTAATATTTTCTATTTAAGTTGGATAATCTCCTGATACAACCTCTGAAGCTTTGCAATTCTGTGGATGTTTGTACTGTTGGTGTAAGTTTCCTCATGCTTGCCTGATCGAAACCTTCAGTTTTGATAGTCCTGGAAAAGTTCTTATAAATGCAAAAAAGATTGTTCTATCTAAATCCCTGCACACAACATACACACACACAACACCCCCTCTCAGAATTCTCTACCACTACAGCACTACAATATCATTTCAGTTATTTATAGTTTGTATATGAATGAATTTGTATTCGTAAAAATACAATGGACCTTGGGAAAAAACCAAGGCTGAGAAGATTCAGATGCAGATTTGTAGCGGACCTAAAAAATTTAATGCAGCAGCGATGAATTCTGAGTCTTCTGGGTTTTTATTACATATTCATCTGGTATATTTGTAAAAAAAAATGTGTAAAGAAAGCTTTTCTATTTCTCAACTGAAATTTGAAAAAAAACACCTTTTCATGCATTCCTTTCATATGAATGTTTGTGCTGATCAGTGATCAAAATAAAAATGAAGAACAGAATATCACACTTTTAACTATTAGTTTAGAAACATAGGCATAAAATTGAGTTGGCAGTGGTGGTGTCAACGCTGCTAACATCGGATGTTCTTGCTTTGACAACAGATGAAAATGCAGCCATTTTCTCTATTGCTTTTAGAATTAGTTGATGCTGGGAGGGGGAATAGGGATGAGAGTCCAGCTAGTCATAACAATAATAACTCAGCCGTGGGAACCCAAAGACATTGGGCCTAGAGCTGATAGCTTTTTGGCAGGCTGGAGAGCTGGGGAGGAAGCCCGCCCTTCAAGCTAATTGGGGAATATGATTTATGACTGTTTATTGGAGGTGGAAATTGTACTTTATCCATGGGAGGGGAATATAGTTTTTGGGTTCAATTATGTAGTGCCAATACTTTGTTTCCCGAATAAAAGATTCTTTAAGGAAAACAATGCCTCAAAGTTGTTTTGAAGGGTTTCATCTGTCGGAACCATGACATTAACCCCAAAACTACAATTTTTACTTATCCATCCTGGGGTCCCGAGCTCCAGTCGCTGACCCTAAAGTCGAGGGATAGACCGACAAAGATTCAAGGAAGATCTCAACATGGAAAAGAAAGGGGTGCCTGAGATCAGCACCCCGGCTGTGACTGCCACCTCAGAGGGGGGAGCGCAGGACAGCGCACCGGCGGAGAAGGAAACTTTTCAGGTCTCCCAGATGGGGGCAAGACCCAAGCTGCGAGGACAACTGATCTGGTCGTCAGACTGGACCCTACCCAGTGGAGACTCCAGACACCTCGAGATGGCCTTGCCACAATTAAGTGCTTCAAAGGCAGACGAGGTCGAGCTGCAAAGAGGGGCTTCTCGCAAGTCTCATTCCCCAGACCAATGGAGACCTGCAAAATCAACTACCGTTGAGGACTCTGGTGAGTGGAAGTACTTGTCCGCAGTCTGTAGTCAATCAGTGGAGAACTTGGTAGAGAGTTTCGAGGAGCTAGAGATGAGAAGCGGGGAACAACCCTCCCATTCTCTATACGCAATTGATCATGATGATCGGAGGGGCAGTCACCAACTCATGCCGAAGGAAAACCTCAGTCCCACTTGTGCAGGGCAAGCAGCTTCCCCATCCACGAAGCCACCTACATTGGCCTCCAGCCCCACAGAGAGGGACAGCCCCAGCCACCACTCCAGACATGGCAGCCTGGAACACCATCGCCCCTCCAGAAGCCCAGAGTGCCGCCGGTGATGCAAGAGCCCAAGCCGCCACTGGGACAACCGAAGCCCAGACCGTGTCTACTGACCACCCAGCCCAAGGCCTCTACAGCAATGAGGAATGCCACAGCAGGGAGGCCAACAACAGCTGGCAATGCAGCAACAGCAGTGTGGGTGGCCGCAGCCCCCAAATGTGCAACAGCAGCTGGGAGCCTTGCCGCAACTGGGGATGATGCAGCCGCCAGGGGGTTAGCAACCATTCAGAGTGCAGCAGCAGCAGTGGGGCTGGCTGCCGCCTCTGAACATGCAGCAGCCGCAGGGGGACCTACAACAACTGTGGATGCCACAACCACCCATAGGTCAGCAGCAATGGGGATGGCAACAGCCCTCAAACATGCAGCAACCACTGGGAGCCCTGCAGCAACTGGGGTGCCACTTCAGCAGATGCTGAGACCATTGGGGATCCTACAGCAATTGGGGATGCCACAGCCACTGGGGGGCCAGCAGCTGCCGGCAGTGCAGCAACAGCAGTGGGGGTGGCTGCAACCCCCAAATATATTCCAACCACTGAGGGGCCTGCAGCAACTGGGGATGCCACAGCCACCATGGGGAGGTCAGCAACCATTGGGGGTGCAACATCCACAGTTGGGAGGCTACCAATCACCAGGAATGCAGGCCCACTGGGGAGTCCAGCAACTGCTGATGGTGCCACCCCTTTGAGCAACTTTTGATGTAGACCCAGAGAAGCTGATCTTCTTCCTCAACCAAGTGTGTTCCCACATGAACCACTGTGCCTATTTCTATCCGAATCCAGCTGCTATGATCGACGTAGTTGCGGCCAACTTGGAAGGAGAAGCATCTGAGTGGCTGAACAATTTATACAATAAGCAAGCACCTGAGTTGGGGGACCGCCACCTCTTCCTCCTAGGGCTGAGAGTAAGGTTTGAGGGCCCATCCATAGCCCTCAAAGCGAAGGAGCAAATTCATAAAATAAGACAAGCTGGCAGGCCCACTCTGGAATATGTGCGAGAGTTTTGCAAGATAGCCAGCCAAATAGAGAGCTGGCCCAAGCAATCCCTAGTTCATCACTTCAAGGAGGGACTGGATGATCACCTCTCCCAGGCTTGTGTCTATTGAGTGGTCCTTAATCAATTGCAAGAATGGTACCAGGCAGCAGTAAGGCTGGATGTCCAGCTTGCCTGCTATAAGAAGCCACCACCTCAAGAAGCCAGGCCGAGGCCAGATCAATCCAGATGGCAGCCACCACCACCCCGAAAGCCTCCAACCGCCACAGCTGCGGAAAACCCCAAGCCACCTGCAGGCCCATCGATCAAATGCTTCAGATGTGGACAACAGGGACATTGAGCAGCGAGTTGCCCTTATGCTCAACAGCAGAATAGACTGGGACAGCCAGCGAGGAAGAAACCAGCCCAGCAGCCAGCGAAAGAGAAATCCAACTGGATCACACAGAAACCCATTGCCCAAGTCACGTTGCCTACGCAGGAGAGTGCTGAGGCCCAAACAGGACCTGCCACTGCTCTGCCCTCCTATGACAGCGATGACGAAGGAGAGAATGACCCAATGGTGAGTCGATCCGTTCCAGCTTTTTTTTTGCCTGCCAAGCTCATAATCCCTAAGACAGGGGCACAGATAGATCTGAAAGTATTAGTAGACTCAGGATGTTCCCGTTGTGTTATTAGCTTGCCACTTGCCCTGAAAATGGGCATACGAGCAAGGCTGCTCTCCAAACTTGTGAGGTTTGAGCAAGCTGATGACTCCCTAATGGGAGGAACCTTAGTCATGCAATTAACTGAACCCATATGCTTAGAAATAGGTGAGCACTGGGAGTTCATTCGCTTCATGATGGCTCCGAAAATGACTGAGGCCGTGATCCTAGGGCTAGCCTGGTTAACAAATGGAAGCCATTTATCTGGTGGGAGAAGGGAAGGAGAACTGTGAGATTATCTATAGGACCCAAGCCCCCCCTTAACTCGGCTAACGTTACCGGAGGACTTAGTCCTTCTAACGAGCTAGTGAAAATAGCTGCTCTGCTTCAACCAGGCAAGCTACTCATCCCCAGCGAGTACTGGGACCTAGACGAGGTGTTTAGTGAAAAAGAATGCAACACCCTGCCTCCCCACCAGCCTGATGATTGCTCTATCAAACTGTTACCGGGAGCCAAACTCCCACGACCGAGGATGTATGCCATATTCCCCCTCGAAATGGAGGAAATGCAGCAGTATGTGGATAAAACCTAGTGAGAGGATTTATTGAATGGGCTAAATCTCAGGTGGGAGTTCCGGTATCATTTAAAGAAAAAAAAGACGGGTCGCTTCATCTCTGCGTGGACTATAAAGGATTAAACACTGTGAGCGTGGAAAACAAATACCCCCTCCCCCTCCTGAAGGACTTACTAACCCACCTGGCAAAGGGGAGAGTCTTCACTAAGCTAGACCTAAGAGAGGCATATTACCGAGTGAGGATAAAGGAGGGAGATGAGTGGAAGGCTGCTTTTAACTGTCCCATGGGGAGCTATCAATTTAAAGTCATGCCATTTGGACTACAGGGGGCTCCAGCTGTCTTCATGCAGCTGATCAAACAGGTACTACATGATCATTTATACAAAGGGATTTTGGTGTATCTTGATGATATCCTGATATACAGCACGAATATGGCTGACCACGTAAAACAAGTGAGAGAAGTACTAAAGAAACTGTTGAATGCCAAACTTTATGTTAAACTAACAAAGTGTGAGTTTCACCAGACCCGACTAGATTATCTTGGCTACAGAATTTCTAGCAAGGGCATTGAAATGGACCCGACCAAAGTGAAAGCCGTAATTGAATGGCAGCCCCCAAAGACTCGCAAACAACTCCAGAGCTTTCTGGGATTTGCCAACTTACCACCAGTTCATCCCCTCCTTTGCTGAAATTGCTTTACCCCTTATGGACTTACTGAAAACAGGCAAAGAAGAAGGAAAGCCGCGACCGGGCCAGCCACCAGCATGGACTATGAGCTGTCAAACTGCTTTTGAGAATTTAAAAAGGCTATTTGTGGTCGAACTGGTCTTAAAGCATCCTGTCCATGGAAGCCCTTTGTGAT